AATTCCATGCAATCCTTTTAGGGAGGAGGGCTGAGCCAATGTTTTTATTGTCTTAGTCTGAAAATCTTCATAGAAAGTTATAGATTGTGATAACTTCGCTCTGAAGAAACTTGCCTTCTGGGCAAAGGATACTTTGGAATGATTTCACCTTTTTAATTTCTTTCTTGGAATTCTTTTTATAGACTGAATTCACCTATACAAATAATAGCATGAGTTTTCTTGTACATTTCCTCTGCTACTTCAGGATTTAGATTGTTCTTTATGTACTGTGACATATTGTCTTTTATGATCACCTTTATTCTCCATTAAACAACAAGTATAATCCACAGCCTTCTGGTTTATGATGTAATTACTCCAGGGTTAAATTACTTGCTTTCTGAATCACAACCAGGGGATAATTAGTCCATAACCCCCTTTAGAGCCCCAGAGACTTTTTTTTCTGGCAAGACCTATATTCTGCTGGTACATACGGGCATAAGATTATTCATGCTTTCCTCATTGCTACTTATTTCCAGTCACAAAACTGTTGGATCTTTGTCCATATCAACTTATTAAGCAGGCCAATGCAATAAATTGCAACATCATTTGCTAGAACATCTTTCACATTATACTTTGGCAATTCATGAGCACAACATATGTAAACAATCGCCCCCTTCTATGCAGGAATGTGCATTCTAGCATGCTAATGATAAGAGACTATAAGCCTGGATTTTTGCATATTCTTATTTATATTCTAGAATTCCAAGAGCTTATATGCATAATACTCTGTTTTTAATTCTTCCTCTTGAATTTCACTTGATACCCCTTGAAGAAGACCTTATTCTTGAGCACTATGAGAAACCCTATCCTACTGGATTGAAACCTGTATTTGTTCACTTCTATAGTGAACCCCATAGCCCTGAGTGAAAGTACCTTTGCTATTCTTGAATCTTATTTACAAGATAGAGAGATGTAGGCTAGATGATAGTGCATTTATGGGCATTTAGAACTGATTGAATGAATAGACTCCAAGAATAGTCATTATGGGTTGATGCCAACTTTGACAGAGGTAATCCAGGGAATTGTCAATTCAGTTCAATCAGTAAGTGTTTATTAAGCACCTATTACATGCTAGGCAGTTCAGATATAAAGACTAAGATGAAACAATACTGCCCTCAAAGGGTTCCATTCTACTCAGGAAAGCAGCATTTAAATACGTCATTAAATACAAAATATATACAAGACAATTACAAAATAATTTTGGGATAAGGGAAAACTAACTAGAGGGATCAAGAATGGTTTTGTGTGGGGCAGCTAGGTGGCACAGTAGATAGAGCACCGGCCCCGAAGTCAGGAACCTGAGTTCAAATCCAACCTCAGACCAAACACTTGACACTTGGTAGTTGTGTGACCCTGGGCAAGTCACTTAACCCCAATTGCCTAAAAAAAGAAAAAAAAAAGAATGGTCTTGTGTAGGGTTGACTTTTTAGTCAATTGCCTTCCAGAATGCTTACATCATCAATAGTGTATTTGCATGCCTGACTCTCTGCAGTCCCTGTAGGAACATAGTATCATTGATATAGAATTGGAGGGGACCTTAGAGGCATTCTAGTCCAATATCCTCATTTTACAACCACTAAAGCACATCTCCTGATTTCTATTCCAGTCATCCAGCCTTATACCCTGAGTCATCTTAGGTTTTTCCTTATCCCTTACTTCCATATCTAGTCAGTAGATAGCTCTCGTCATTGCTGCCTCTATGGTATCTCTAACTTTTGTCCACTCCTCTTCACACACACGGCTACCTACCTAGTTCAGGCCCTCAAGAATTCTAACTTGGAAATTTCATTAAACTCCTCTAATTGTTACCTTTGCTTCCAGTCTTTCTCTTCAATCCATCCTCGACACAACTTCCAGAAAACTCATCTTAAAGAATCATCTGACTATGTCCCTGCTCTGCTGAAGATGCTATACAGTGAATCTAGATATGAACTCTGTTTAGCATTTAGAGCCATTTGTCTTCTGGCTCCAGGCCCCCTTTCAAAACATTTAAATTACCCCCACACACACACACATACACACAATCAGCATTCTAATCAGACTTGCCTATTTTTTGCTCCCTTTACATAATATTCCATCTCTCATCTCTGTGTGTTTGCCTGGTCTCTTATACACACTGGAAAGCTTTTCCTCTTAAAATCACTCCTTCCCTTCAGGGCTTAGCTTAGGTGTCACCCCACCATTAGAAGCCTTTCCTGATCACCCCAGTTATTAGTGCTTCTTTGTAAAGTACTTTAAAGCTTGTTTTGTTCTTAACCCTGTACGTGGTGTATGTTCCTTTTATAAGCTAATTGAGGACAGA